CAATTCTGATTTTAGGCACAAAATCAGAATCAATTTTGAGAAGAAGATAAAGAAGAAAACGTTTCTGTGTTTCTGTGTATCAAAGAAGTCGTTCTTTCCCGGACTTATCCACTCAACGGATAAATGAGAACAGTTTACACCTTTCAGAAAAGACAGATTAGTCCTTGAATTTGCATCTCTAAAGAATGACAGTAGATTAGGGTTCGGTACTAACAATGTTTAGTAAATACAAGTGTGCACTCCCACACCTCCTAACTTGTATTATAACTAAAACATTATTCTTGAAACACTTGTTAAATCCATTACACTAAAATATATTTGGTGATCAAATCACCAACACAACAAACAAAAACTCGTAAGCTAACTGATCGGGTTGTGATCCCGAGCCAACGCTCTGATGGTAAAGTCAGAAAAGGCTTCTTTACGATAATGGTGATCAATTGAATAATAAGGGACCAAAGTATTTGGGATATAATCGATTGAGAAGGCATCAGATCGAATGTACGTACCTTGTAGCAGTCCAAAATTTTGATAGGTTGGGGGCACAAAAAAAATCAAATTTAATTTTAGGGTCAGGTCAAAATGGTTTTAAGCATAGTAACAAAAAAAAAATACAAAAAAATAGTTAACTTACATGCTTTAATTTGTAACATTTGTTAGTCTTCTTTTTCAACACGTTAGAACAAAAAAATTTAAGATTTATAACATTGAAACAAAAAAATTAAAAATTAGATTAGAGCATTATCTAAACAAACAAGAAATAGAAGACTCATAAAATTACTTGGGAGAAGATAATATTAAAAGTTTTGGGTTTAATATTTCTTCAACTTCATCCCAACAGCCCAAAGTTAACTATTAAAAATAAAAAATTATCCATTAGGGGCATGTGCCAGGGGCGGATCCAAGGAGTATCCTGGGATACCTCTCAAAAAAATTTCGGTAGTGTAATTTTTTTAGAAAAATTCGTTTTATGTAGTGTATATATACGCATCCCTTCACTTATAAGCATAAACAAACAGCTAGTCTACTAGTTAAGGTGTTGACTTATCGAAACAAAGGTTTCAAGATCGATTTTTGCTCCTTACAAATCCTTTGTTTACATTTCTTTTATTTTTCCAGCTATTCTATTATTATTTTTTTCCAGCGATTCTATCCTACATCGTCAAACACATGTAAACTCAGTTATTTTCATCTGTTATATAAACTTGTTATCTCTATGCTTCATTTGATATATACTTTGAGTCCCACATCGATTCAAGTATGAAAAGATACTTCAACTTCATGTTTATATAACAAGACTTGAAGTTAGCTAATGATTCGATTAATGTTTGGGTTTAAAACCAAACCGGGAAACCCAAGAACAAATTGAAAACCGAAACACTGAACCGATGGGTTTGGGTTCGGTTCGGTTTTAAAAGTTTCAAAACCGAAGCTGTTGGTTTGGGTTCGGTTTTAGGTCAAAATTGACCCGCCCCGCCCCATGCTCAGTCATTGCGGTGATACCCCGTAAAAAAAGACAAAATTGCAAATTTAGTCCTTGTGGTTTGCAAAAATCTTTGGATGGGGTCCAAAAAGTTTCCAGCTTGCACAGAAGGTCCAAAATCAAGGTTTTTCTAGGTTTTTAGTCCAAAAAAACTTGAAAAGACGTTTATACCCTTTTAATTTCTTTTTTCTTATTTTTTTACAATTGTTCTAATACCATTTTGTCTTAAAAATAAAAAGAAAAGAAATATATTATCCCCCACCCACCCATACGTTCTCTCTCTCTCTCTCTCTCTCTCTCTCTCTCTCTCTCTCTCTCTCTCTTTCTAACTCCCTTCACCAGTTATGTATCTCTGGCGTAGGAGGAAACCGGTGGAACTAGGAGACCACCAATCGCCACCATGACAGTACTCCTCTTCTTCCTAATCTGCTCACCGATCTCAGCCAAACACCCCCCTTTGATCGTTACTGCTACTGCTCAAATCTACAGCCTACAACGAGAAAGGAAGGAGTCGAGTGGAGCACCAGAGCTACCCCCTTCCTCTGTGGCGATTGGTCGAGGAACACCACCCAAACACCCCTGACTCCTTCACTACGGACGATGAGAAAGGAAGCCACGACGGGCCTGCCGGAGACGTCGACTGCAGCCCCTCCTATTGAAGAAGAATCACCCAAATGCTTCCCATGCCCATTGTTGTCGATGGATCGAAGACAACAACCCCCGATGAGGTTTTGCTGTCGATGGACCGCGCCGGAAAACCGACCATCTGGGTTTTCAATTTTTTCTCGATTTAATGTGATTGTGTTCAGTCTAAACCATATTCCATTTTGGGGTTCCATAATTTCACTGCAATATGACGGTTTGCATAGAAATTGAGGTTCGGATTGACTCAAGTATATCGATATTTTGAAGGATACATCATTAAAAAAAGGGTTTAATAGTGATTCCACTATTGCTCCATGTTTTCATCCTTCAGTTTGCGATCCCACCACTGCTACATGTCGGAGCTTCCACCACCGATACATGTCTAGAGCTATCGCCGGAGTTGGAGAACTCGTCAGTGGGTCTTGAATCCA